TGCTTTGTTTTGCTTTTTGTTTGCACAGGTGATATTCCTCTGGTCTACTGCTGAGACCGTGGGAACTTCTTTCTGCAAGGGAATAGGAATTGATGAAGTAGGTTAACACCCTCAGATTGCATTACGGTTTTCAGATGGTGGATTTCAACCTGGGAGAAGGCATCGCAAATTTTGTGCGAACATAAAGGAGGTCTTCTAGCCTGATCATTTGAGTGAAGATTTTTTTTTAATTTCAGCTCTCTTGCAAAGTCATTAGGAGGGCACCTACCTATGAAATCTAGAGAGAGCAAAACAGAAGAACATATGGGAAGAGATTATGGTATTAGGAATTTACAAAGTATGCTTCAGCAGAAACACACAGAGTTGTTAGCTAGTACTTTGGAAAAAGACTTTGTAAATTCGAGTAAAGCAATTAAACATTATGCCTTTTATGTTAAAAAAGAAGATTTAAATCACTAGTAGGTATTTGCTGATTAAATAACATTTACACAAAGTCTGGAAATATGCAAAGAGATAAGAGTTCAGAACAGTGCACTGGTATTCAACATTAACAAACAGCTTACTTTCTTCTTCCACCGGGGGATTTCCAGATGTAATCTTTTAGATAAGACATTAGTTGTTTATGTCACTAAAACCTACTAGCTGTCTTATTCATGGCTCTTTTCAGTTAGAATCGGGGCTTAGAGTCATTTCTTCCACTGAATTGAACTTAAAACCTATGACAAACTGATAATTTACTCTTCAAACTGTTTCAGTTGCTTCACCTAACGCTGCTAAATGTTCAAATGAAATGTTAAAATTGTATGCTAAAGAAAATATAGAGACTGTCAAAACAAATGGAACAAATTAAGAAGTTGACTAAATACATATACACTCCCACCCTCTCACATACACACACCATACGCAGGTGCACTATATAAACCTGTTACAAAGAGTCAACTGGGTATGGGATTACTATGGAGTTTATACATTTTAGTCACCACAGAGAGTATGCACGTCTCTCTAGTTAAAAAGAACAAGTGTAGATGGGTCTAACATTAAGGACAAAATCGAGGCTGCCAACCCTAATGTTGCTACTGTTGTTACTAGGTACCACCGAGCTGGCTTCCACTCCCCATACACCGTATGTACAACAGAAAAAAACAAAACCAGCACCTCGTCCTGGACCACTATCACGATCCCTGTTGTTGTTGTTGTTAAGTGCCGTTAAGTCCGTTCCAACGCATAGCAACCCTGAGAAGCAGCTAGTGGGTTTGAAAATGCCAATCCTGAGGTGAGCAGTCTAGTGCTTATCCTACAGAGCCACACCAGGACTCCTTCACAATCCTTAATTCCCACAGATCATTTTCACGTCATCGCTCGGTCCTTACAATCACACACCCTGAAAACTTTGGAGTACTGGTTAAGTAGAGCCGAGAAGAGTCAAACAGCTGAAGTGGCAAACAGTACTGTGTATCAGACATAAACCCAGAGAGTCCAGGTGGGTCTCCTCCTGCTAGTCCTCACACCCACACTTAGAGAGAATGGAATCAGTTAGTCAGGGGAGCAGTTTGGGTTTGGACAGGCATGCCCTTGCCCTAAGAAATGTTAAGATGCTTTTTCTGGTAGGTGGAGAAGCATGATGTTTTTAAGGGCTAGGCTGGTCAGGAGAGGTCACATAATTATTAACTTTTCACAGCATGACAAAAGAGTCCTGGTGTGACGCTTCAAGTAAGCCCTGGACCAAAAGGTGAGCTTGAACTGCAAGGTCGGTGGTTCAAAACTCACCAGCCTCACCTAAGAAACCCTACATAGGGTCGCTGTGAACAACAACATATGATGACAGACTATTTGCATTTTTAAATTTACTTTTGATATGCATTTTAGAGTAATTCATGGATTTACCAAAAAAGGAGAGAAGAAGGAGAGGGAAATCAAGAATTAAAAACCTGATACAGCAACATAGTTTGATTTCAGTTCTTATAGATCACGTTCCTGATAACCCATTTAAAAAGGAATCCTGGTGTGGCACTGCACATGAATGCACTGGACTGCAAAGTCAGTTTGAACCACAAGGTCAGCAGTTCAAGCTCACCAACAGCTCCTCAGAAACCCTACGCAGGGTCACTATGAGTCAGAACCAACTTGACAACACTTAGCAACAACAAATCCTGGTGTGGTTCTGTAGGATAAGCACTGAATTGCTAACCACAAGGTCGGTCGATGGTTCAAACCCACCAGGTACTCCTTGGAATCCCTATACAGCATCGCTGAGTCGGAACCAACTTGATGGCACTTAACAATAACAACATCACGTCTTCTTAACTCTGTCAACATACTTTCTGATGCCGTGCCTTTTGGGTTTACTTGGAGTCTCAGGTTTTAAAGAGGGTAGATCTCATACATCAATGGTATTGTCATGAGAAATCAATAAATACTGTCTATGTTTGGAATCCATGATGGGCACTTACCTTCAGGAAAAGCGTGGGGCTGGACCACATGGAGAAAAGCATGCACCATTCGAAAGAGCACCCCAATGGACCCTGAACTATGGGAGCTACTGGTCTCATAGTTCACTGCTGGCAAGTCAAAATTCAGGTCCTGAGAATTCTGTGTGGGTGAAGGCCGCCCTGCTGAGACAGTGGTCCCACACAAGCCCAGTAGCAGTAGGTAGACAAGGACAAGAGGCATGGCTAGCAAGCTCCCTGAAACATGAGGTAGAACTGGGTTCAAAGGTTCTGGAAGCTTCCAGAAAGGACAGTGTCTCTGTGCAGGAGAGGTGCACTGGAACAGCTGGCAGAATCCTCAGTTGTCACGCTGGGCTGGCATGTGGAGAAGGGTGTGGACAGGTCTTCTCCTGATGAGAGCCAGTGGCTCATGGCGCCATCCCTAGAAGAGAGAGAAAGGGCAGCAAAGTCATGAACCCTGCAAGCAGGCTCTGTCTCCACAAGGAGCTTCTCTGGAAAGCAGACTATGAGCACACAGTAAGCTATTCCTCATAATCCGGGTGGGTGGAAACCAAACACAGCCATGGGGAGGGGCTAGCATGGCAGCAGGGACTCGGAGCAACAACTTCCTCAATGGACCAGACTCGGAGCACAGAGCCTGTGTGGGTCCAAAACCAGGTCTTTGTAGAGATGGCTACGCAGCCTGTGACGCTAACATTTACTGAGCACTGATGTGGCTCTGTAGGATCAGCACTGGACTGCTAACCACAAGACTGGTGGTTCAAACCCACCAGCAGCTCCTCAGAAACCCTATCCAGGGTTGATATTATGAGTCAGAACTGACTCAACAGCACTTAACAACAACGCTACCCCAGGATCAGTGAAAAAGAGGAAGACCCTCAAAGAGATGGACTGACACCTTGGCACCAGCAATGGGCTCAAGTGTAACAATAATTGTGAGGTTGGCACAGGACCAGGCAGTGTTTCATTCTATTGTGCAGCCAGTTGCTATGAGCCGGAACTGACTCAACAGCACCTGACAACAACAGCTCTACCCCAACTTCAATCTTTTCTCCGATTATTAATAAATGACATTTTCATAAAGGTTGAAGGTTGAAAATGTTAAAAAAAAAAAAAAATTCATTTTTCTTGGATCCACAGCCTAGGCTCCGGGAAACAACAGTCAAGAAATCAAAAGGTGTATTTGCACTGGTCAAATCTGTTTTAAAAGAGCTCTTTTTAAACACTAATGAGCAAAGATGTCAGTTTGAGGACTTGGGTCAGTTACCTGAATAAGGAAGATCCTAGAAAAATTGATGCACTTAAATTATGGTGTGGGCAAAGACTACAGAAAGCAGTATGGATTCCCCGAAACCACAAACAAAACAGGCAGACAACACGCCTTAGAAGCCAGGATGTCAAGATGTGGACTCTTGTACTTTAGACATGTTGTCAGGCGGGACCAGGAGACGTGGAGAAGGACATCGTGATTGGTAAAGTGGAAGGTAAACGGAAAAGGGGAAGACCCCCCCAACAGGATACACTGACACAGTGGCAGCAACAATGGGTAACGTGAGGCTGGCGCAGAACCGGGCAGTGTTGTCGTGCATGGGGTCGCTGAGTCGGAACCAACTGCACCTAACAACGACAACTCTACCCGAGGTACTGCTCTCTGTACTTACAAGGGACCCTCACTTAAGGCATTTCCCATTTATAGATGACTTTGACTAACCTAAAGTCACAGCCAGGTAATGCTGGGGTTTGCCTTCAAGGACATCTGGTGGAGCAGCAGTTAAGTGTTCGGCTGGCAACCGAAAGGTTGGAGGTTCAAACCCACCCAGTGACTCTGTAAAAGTAAGACCTGGTCATCTTCTCTCAAAAAGATTGGGATTGTTGTTGTTGTTAAGGGCTGTCCTGTCAGTTCCGACCCACAGCGACCCTGTATAGGGTTTCCAAGGAGCGGCTGATGAGTTTGAACTGCTGACCTTGCATTTCAAAGCGACCTTGCAATCCAGTGAATTAACCCACACTGCCACACCCTATGGGACAATTGTACTCTGTTTTACACGGTTGCTAAGGGTCATAATGAACAACAATTAGCAACAGTTAACTATTGGGACAATAGTTAACATGTTTGGCTGTTAACTGCAATCTTAGAGATTGAGCCCACATTGTAGGCTTAGATAAATAAGCATTGGACTGCTAACCATTAGGTCAGCGGCTCAAACCTACCAGCCACTTTTTGGAAACTCTATACAGGGTTACTGTGAGTCAGAACCAATTCAACAACAATGACAGAGTGTAGCTGTGGGATAAGCACTAGACTGCTAACCTCAAGGTTGGCAGTTCAAAGCCAGCAGCAGGTCCACATGAGAAAGATGAGGTTTTCTGCTCCCATAAATATTTACAGCTTGAGAAGCCCTGTTCAGGGTTGCTATGAGTCAGAATTGAAAAGCCTCAGAAGAGAGACCAGGCAATCATTTTCTGAAAAGTCAGTCACTGAAAAGCCCTATGGAGCTCAGTTCTGATACATATGGGGTCACCGTGAGCCAGAGTCAACTTCAGGGTAGGTTTCCAAAAGAACAACAAAAAAGTTTTCTTTCAAAGTCCAAGTTCCAACTACTACCCTAAGATAGCGTTTGGCAGAGTCTGGCCCCCTCAGGGTATGGTCAGAGACTCAGAAACCGCACCCCCCTCACCCCCCGCAGCAAAGACTGCTTATTTCCCTCCATGTTTGTGTCTGTTCTCCTCTCCTTCCCCTCCGTCTCTCTCTCTCTCTTATATTCTACGGATTTGTCACTGAGCCGATGTCAAACATCCCCTTTCCACTGCTTTCCCTGCACCAGGGACCCTGAGGCCACGGAGCAGCAAACTCTGGTTTCACAACAAGTTCACCAAGTAATCCTGATGGAAGCCCACACCCCAAATCACAACAGGACAAAACAGGGGTCCAGGAAACAGAACTCTAGACAGAGGGAGCTCCTACCCATGCCTTGGAAAAGGAGAAAGAAACAGGAATCCTAGAAGCAGAGACCAACAGCGTCCAGTGAGGGAAAAGGACAGCGGGTGCTGTTAGAGACAGGCCCAACCTCAACATGGCACTTCATGGCAGACCTGGGTCTCCAAGCATGGCCTTGGACGTGCTACACTTAGGTAAGAAATGAGCACCCAACCAGAGGACTGAGGCGTCAGGAAGCAACATCTAAAACTGCAAGATGCTGTCAACCATTCCAGGAACCTGCTGAGACTACCACCTCTGCCTGCTCCCCCATCTTCAGCCCTATAAAAACACCCCAAAGGCTGTGAGTTCAGAAAGATATTGCTGTCTGGCATGTCTCCCCAGCAGGTCTCCTTCCTTAAATAAACCCTTGCCATTCACTTCATGACTTTTGTAGCCCACCCTGGTGACAGCGCCTCCAAGTCCAAGATGGACTCTATGTTACTGGTGCTTCAAGTCCCAGAATGCAACTCAGGGCATGGCAGGCACACCATTGGTGTTCACTCTGAGTTTGCTGACTAGAAAAATAACTAATTTACTCGTTGGATTACAAGAGACTAGGTCAATCAAAACAGATCCTACAAGTAAAGACTGGGATGCACCTCTCTTCCTATCTTTTGTTCACCTGTTCAGAAACATCAGTTAGATGTTAACTTACTGAATACAGGATGTACCTGAAGCCAGCTGTGAGATGGGAACTGGGGGTGGGGACACAAAGAAAGTGACGTATTTTACATGGGTCCAAATGACTTTCATTCCACCAATTTAAAGAAAGCTCTAGCCCAAAGGTGGGATTCCATGAACTATCTAAATGAAGATGTCGATTCAGACCTAACCTCTTTGGATAGTGTCTCATATTCTAAGAACCTTTTCACCCCATTTGTTCTGCAGAGCTAACAACAGAACATGATTGTTATACACCACCAAGTTCGTTCTCATTCACAGTGACTCTATATGAGAGTAGAATTGCCCCCATAGGGTTTCCTGGGAGTCCTGGTGTGGTGCTGCGAATTAATGCACTGGACTGCAAGGTCACTTTGAGCCGCAAGGCCGATGGTTCAAACTCACCAGCCGTTGTTCGGAAACCCTAGAGAAGGGCGCTGTGAGTCGGAAGTGACTCAACGGCACTTAACAACAATAATCTTTACAAAAATTGAACAGTGAATAAGGACGACCATATCAGAATTGATGTATTTAAGCTATGGTGTTGGAGGACAATATCCAAAGTACCATGGACTGCAAGGACAGCCAGAATGCTCCTTGGAAGCCAGGATGGCCAGACCTTGTCTCTCAGACTTTGGACATATTATTAGGAGGGACCAGTCCCTGGAGAAAGATATTATGCTTGGTAAAGTGGAGGTTCAGCAAAAAGGAGGAAAACACCCAATGGGATGGATTGGCACTTGGATTGGCACAGTGGCAGCAGCAATGCACTCACAAGTAACAAAGATTGTGAGGATGGCATAGGACCGGGCAGTGTTTTGTTCTGTTGTTACTCATTGGTTCACTATGAGACAGTACCAACTTGATGGCACCTAACAACAACAACGATCTTTACAAGAGCTGATCAACACAATGGGTTCAGATGGTTAGCAGGCAAATGCTTACTCATTGCACCAAAAGGATTCCGAAAAGAATGACTAAGCCCTCAGCACTCATCTCTGAGATTATGGGGTTTGACTGTCCTTGACCCCAAGCTCCAGTTGTGGCCCCCAACCTGTCATGACGGGGTGACATGACATGCTTTGACCCTGACAACTGCTCCCAAAGGGCGCCGTCTCCTTGCCAGACAACAAGTACAGCAAACACTGCCCTCAGGCTCTGAAAGGCCCTGGTCTTTCCCAGGTTCTAAGAGGAAATGGTACTGTATATTCAAACATGGGTGTGCTCTACTTAACCTTCAACTTCTAAAGAGAACAAACGCAAAGACGGAACTAATGCAAGTTAGCTTTCAAAGCTGGCAGACCCACAACCTCTCTCTCACCTTCCCTTTGTTGGGCAAGAATCTTTGGTCCCTACAGAATCCAGCCAGACCTCAAGGTCGCCTTCAGAGACTCAGGCCTCAGTCTGGCTCTCTTTCTCCATCATGGAATATGTTGTTGTTGTTAAGCTGTTGACTCAATTCCAACTCATGGCAACACTGTATAGGGTTTCCGAGAAGTGGTTGGTGAGCTTAAACCACTGACCTTTCAGTTCAAACTGACTTTACAGTCCAGCGCATTAACCCACAGCACCACACCAGGATT